GGCCGGTTTATCTCCCTGAAAGAGAATCCGCCCTTCGGCGTAGCCTCGTTCGGGTTCCTCCCCGCCCGAAGGGTGAGAGTCCAACCGAACAGTCAGTCAGAAGGTGAACAATTGACTGACTTAAATTACTTCTGAGGCGCAGTATTTATTAAGTATGGAATAGTCCATTATTATTATTATTATTATTATTATTATTATTATTATTATTATTATTGGTAAGATCCCATAACAGTCCTGTTGCTTCCACACTCTTTACTTTGTAAATTATGACTTTGTTTAACATTTCAAATAAATCATTTCTTAATTCAATGCCTGTTCGGATTTCGGTGACGCCTTTTCGATCCTCTTCATTTACTGAGTTACGCGTATGCTTGTCATCGTTAATTTGAACAGAAATTATAACAGAGGGAGTTAATAAAAATTTAGACGTACCAAAAGACTTGTCCGCAAAGAACTATGCAACGCTATGATATACGAACCGGCAGGTATTTCAACTTATATGAAAATTCTTGGCGGAACACTTGCTCGGGCGGGAACGGTTATTTTATATGTTTAAAATTCCAGGTTGAATCACATTTTCGGACTGCACCTGTATTTGCTAAACGAGAGTATAGAAAAATTTGCATTGCAAAAACAATATGGAAAGAAATTCTTCAGATATCGCCATAGGATTCTCTAAACAAATCGGTTTAAATGTCTTTCCACAGACATAAGAAGATAAAATATTTATTTTCTCGGTAAATATTTAATTCCAACGAAGTCTTTTTCTGGCAATTTAATTAATTCATTGAAGGATATTAATCACAGAAATCGAACATCATTCAGTGAAAAATTATTAAATGTCTGCTTAAGGACTTATTAATTTAAAAAAAATAACATATTATCCTGGAGGGCCACTTTCAAAACTTAATAAGTATTAAACATGGCAGCTCATTTCCAAAAGTATAAGTTTTTTAAACAGATCATATATTTTTAATGTGCAAAAACTGTAACAACAACTTGTATAGATGCATGTTCATATTGGTATTAAATAAATAAGCATGAGAATGCATAATTTTATTAATGTGACACTTGATACATTTTGTCTTTTGCACAACTTTACAATGTCAGCACTGATCAATTTTTTGATTTACACTATATCATCATGTAATTGTTCTTCAATATGACCACGGATAGCAGATTTCCTCTCAAAAAACGACATAAACTCACAAAATGTCTAAATGCAGTTGTTTCGTTGTACGAAATACTTCCAACAGACTTCAAAAGAGTGGATTTGACTACTAAATTATTCTAAATTTGCACCCAATTAACAAACGGAATTGATGTATATATATATATATATATATATATATATATATATATATATATATATATATATATATATATATATATATGGTTGATTACTTTTTGTGGACACGTCTTTTAATAACTCTTTTATAACTCGTTATGATTATTATTTTCTTTCAGATAAATGAGGACAAATATACAACAAATCGGTTCAATGATAAGGCATGAAAATGCATTCTGCAATCGTTGTCTTAAAAGAAGGGCCTAATATTTTACAGATTGCTCGCTTCCTGATGTTTACACAGTTGTTTGTTGTCGAATTTCGCAGCGAGCTGAAAGTCGCTGACGAAGATTCTGCCAGAGTAGCCAGAGATAATACACCTTCGAATGGTACTAATACCATTAAAACATTCGCATTTGTAAGAACTGTGCAGAAGCATATCGATAAGAACACCATAATTTCCTTTAACAGCACTGATAAGAAATTCATGGTATTTAGGAACACTGAGAAGAATTGTGCATGATGACATTCGATACGAGTCAAATGTGATGCGAAGAAACCAATTCATCTCTGCAAATGCAAAAAGATAAGCGTCTGATCTGCTCAAGGCGTTTGCTTGCTGAGCAAGTTGACACATCAAGAACCTTGAATACTTTGGTTTTTCTCTGAAGAGAATAACTTTAATAAGAACCAAAAGTCTAACAGAAAGAATAATTGATGGTTATACAGAGACCCAAAGTGCGTTCTCTCATGCATACAAAGTTTATGCTAACTAGTATAGTTTTCGGACTTGTGAGCAATAAGGTAGATACCTACTCACTTTTTCGTCAGACCTTAAGGTCAATGCTAAGGTCAATGCTGCTGACAATAAGCAAGTGTCGGAGAGGAGTGTTAGGCCTCGGATAGAATGCATGAGTAAAAGAAAGCAATGCATGTACAAACAAGTCATTGGGCTGTATTATAACTTCAAGCCGGCGCAAGAATGGATGAGTTACAATCTATACAATCCTGTCACCCCCACAAAATATGGCCTATTAGCTTTCCAATCTTGAAACTGTTGAAGCACTACATATGAATCATTGGTTGATTTTGTTTTACGGTATATCAACATCTATGGGTTATTTAACCCCTTCTCTGCCAATTATTTTGGAAAAAAATGCTTCATTTTCAAACGATTTTTATTTGTTCTTTTTTTTCACATAGTAACTAAAAAATTGAGACATCTTGAAGTACCCGAGCGGTGGCTAACACGTCTAACAGGCGTATGATTTGACAATTGGATTCGTTCAAAGCTCAGAAGGGCATGAAAAGAATCAAGATCGACGTATAAACACGTTTAGGAGCGTTATGTTTGGGACGAGTTTAAACGTCAGCGTCCGAAAAACAGACCTTTGCTAAAATAACGTACGCAGGAGGAGGGGTTAATTTCGAATTTAAATAATCTGAACACAATTACATGCCTTCAGCAAAGGATTAAATATATTGTCGGTAACTTTAATACAATTAGGTATTACTGGTAATTTCAATAAAAAATACGTATTTTTGATATTTTTTATATAAAAATATAAAACTGGAATTTTTACTATAAAAATGTATTTTTTATACTTTTAAATTCTGTTCTTTGGTGTTTTCACTATTTACTCAGAGTTGGGACCCAAATATTTGCTAACATTCTGGGTCAGTGTGCATCTGGGAAACAACAGCAATTATGTGGTGGCTTCACCTCGAACCCCCCCCACTAGAGGCCTTGGTGCTGAATGTAGTTTATCATCATACCCATATGCAGCGTAGTTGAGGGAATCAACGCTCCCTTAACGCTATAAAATCTCTGAGGTCCACCATATGTCCAAAACTGATAACAATCCTATACGATTATGTTGAACTTTTTGAGCTGCTATTGATGCCGACATCAATGCCAACGGCACATTCATTAAGGAGATCCACCAAGAAGGGTTCGTCCCAATTTTTTTAACAAATCTCTTACCTCTTGTCTTGTATAACTTTTAACAAATTTATGCAAATGTCGTAAAAAGAAATGAGCGGCTTTGCATATATGAGAATGCTATTTACATTATTTAGACAGTTATCCTCATTATATTCACAACGTTTCTGCTTTTGTACGCTCCGATTTTCTTCAGGTGATTGGAATTTCGAACCTAACCCTTTAGTTCGTCCAACGGGGTAGATTGTTCTAGTTCTAAGAATGGATATGAATACAATATGGGAACCAGTAATAAGGACTGCTAGAGAAAAGCAATGAATAACAACAAAAAATTACAACATAAACAATACAATAATAATAACAGAAAAACGGTAAAACGGTAAAAATCGTTAGTGACGCTTAGGTTTATAAGTCCCGAAAATTCATGCACAGATTTCCTCAATGACACATGGCACAGTGGATAAAGACGTTGGTTAGATCCAATGACTTGACCCAAACTTTTGTGAGTTCAATACCAGGCCACAGCTGTGGTGAACCAAACTTGGAGATTTGAATTAAAGCGGGAAAACTGAGACATCCGGGAGAGTCATGGCACGTGGAACTAGAACAAACTACCCCGGTGGCCGAAAGGTTGTGAATATTGCAATGATGATGAGGATAACAGTCCGAATAATATAAATAATCATAATACCTCATCTCAGAGATATAAACAGATAATGAGATAATGTGATATTATTCCGAAGTCCGTTTGTGAGTTATTAAGTGAATTGTCATATTTAATCTTTTGATTAGATATAATCTTTAATTTTAATTATCTATTAGAATCTGGTTGATGAAAACCAGTGACGATATATTAAAAAAAACACTTAGTTGGGTATAGGAAACAGCCTCTGTCTTAAGCGATGTTTGAATGAATGTATCAACTGAGACGTTCGGATTTCTAACACCTTCCTCGAAGATCTTTCTCAAGTTTGGATATTTTCATGATAATTACTTCAAAATTCTTAAGCATCTTACAGAGAAACACAGTATTCCAACATTGTCTCAAAAATGTATCAAGGTAGTTGATAGATTAATAACTTTGTGATATGCTCAACACATGAATTAGACCCGTATTGAATAGTGATTTTCCAAGCGTAACTTAGATGTGGAACAAGGCCGAAATTAATGGGCACCCATTGAGGATCGAACTCACTATTCAGTCGCAATTGTTCTAGCGAAACAATTTGCTAACCATTACACCACCTTGAGGTGCCCTAGGCCTGTCGAATAGTGGGGAATAAAAACCCTCTAAGAAGCAACAACATTAATAGACAGTAATAGGATGGTTTAATATTGTTTTATCAAGCCGAAATCTTTTATACAGACTATTGTAGATCTCAAAATATGGATAACTATTAATTTCAAGGACGAATATATTTTGTCCGTAAAATTGTGTCCGTTTCATATCTTGCTTATATCTTCAGTACATTTTGTGACGAAAAAAAATATATATATATATATTATTTTTATGGTTATTATTATTTACAATGTTATATTTTAGATTATTCACTATTTGCATTTTTGTTTGTCGATAACATTGCTATAGAATTTATTATTTGTTTAATATGATTGACTTTTTGCGCGCCATATACTTCGAACTTCCTACTCACATAAGGAAACAAAGATAATTAATTATAATAGAAAAAAAGATAATATTTCTTGTCAATAGCCTTCAGTCAAACTGATTAATATGATAAAATAATAGCGAAATCAACATTATAAACTTAGCACCCTTAACGCTTCATTATCTATCTATCTATCTATCTATCTATCTATCTATCTATCTGAATATATTCTTATCTATTAATCTGTATATGTATGTCCGACTCGCTATCTATCACAGTCTATTCATTTTCTATCTATCTATCTATCTATCTATCTATCTATCTATCTATCTATCTATCTGAAGATGTTCTAATCTAATTATCTGAATATGTTCTCTATCTATATCTGTATTCTCTCATATATTTAAATTCTTACATATTTCTATCTATCTAAATGTAATCAGCTCTCTATATATCTTCATTTCTACCTATGTCTAACTATTTTACATAATTCTCTCTGTCTGTCTGACTGGCTGGCTGGGTATCTATCTATCTATCTATCTATCTATCTATCTATCTATCTATCTATCTATCTTTATTAATATCAATTATTATCTATTATCTTGATTACACTTCTATACTTCCCGCTCTATAAGGTTTCTCTTCCCCACCCTATACCCACTAAATCCATGTCTTAGTGGTTTACTGCCTTGCATAGGGGAAATCTATTAAAAAAAATGCTACCCTAACAAAATCATTTAGGCACATCCAGTTGGGGTACTGGTTAACAGTCTTGTCTCGATTGATCCGTTACAACGGAACAGTTCGTAGGACCCTTACTGGATGCCCCATACTCGGTGCTATATCTAAGCTACGCTTAGAAAATCATTTAGCAACTTCCCGTGATGTAATTGTTATCAGGCTTATCACTTAGGTGATGTGATGGTTGGCCTGCTTGTCAATCACGACAATAGTGAGTTCGATCATCACCCTCTCTACCATACTTTATTTCTGATGCCATATCTAACCTACGCATAGAAAATCCCGTGATATAATGGTTAGCAAGCTTATCACTTAAGTGATGTGATGGTTAGCCTGTATGTCAATTACGACTGACTCTTCATCATCATCATATTGCGGCCTCAGCCGAGATTGAACTCACCAATACTTTGATTGGTGTAGTTCATAATCTTGTCAAATAGCTGAATTCTTGATGCTTCGCTAGGGCTATCAAGGGTGTTTTTATCGTGACACCAACACTAAATGGATCGCCAACCAAGGCTTAGAGAGACTCCATTCACCCTCATCTAAGAGCAGGTTTGAATTCAGAGTTTTCCTTCTCCTAGACCAGTTGCCATCCAAGGCTATAGAACCCAGTCCGTACTGCTATTTACCCATAGCTGGAGGGAGAAGAAAGAGGATTCACACCTTTCCCAAGGGTGTTAGCACGTAAGTGAATGTAATGGATTCGACTGGAATTCGAACTCGGCTCTCCGATTCCTCAATCCAAGCCGCTATCCATTATTCCACTGTGCCTCCCGACTGAATAGTGTGTTCGATCATCACACTGTCTGCCATACTTTATTTCTGATGCCATATCTAAGCTACGCTTAGAAAATTATTTCAGCATATCGACGTGGTGTAATGGTTAGGAAGCGTGTCTCTTACCCGGTGTTAGTGTTTGCCGTTTTGGCAATTGCCATTGAATATTGAGTTCGTTCCTCACTGGGTGCCCTATATTTTCAGCCTTTCTCATCTAAGCTACGCGGAGAAAATCACCAATCCCTGGTGAGTTTGCCAACTGCAACGTATCGTTTAAAGCAACAAATATTTTCTCGAGTGATCAAGAATGTGTATGAATCATTCTGTGTTCCAGGCTTATGAGGAGAAAATATTTAATGAGAGACACTAAGGCGAATTTTATTTAAAAAATTATTTTTCTCATTGATCCTTTGTACGAAATATGAAACATTACGTCGATCAAATTAAGTGTCGCTGATCAAAATAAGTGGCTTCTACAAAATATACTTTGTTCATTTGACTTCATCGACCTATTTAATCACGCATAGTCTCTGCACCCACTGGGATTTTGAAATCCGGATGGGCCAATTAAATCTCGCAAGTAAATGGATTATGAATAAATTGACCTCTTCTGACCTTGAAAGAGAATATTATACTGAGCTTAACGAATTAATTATAAACTCCATCCAAAGGATAAATTGACCGGGCACTCTGCTTCGCATCGGTCTGAGATATCGATTTCAAATGAATTATCTATGCCTCAGCGGGGATAAAGTATTAACGATAAACTCGGATGTTTCGACTGGCGGCCATCTTGGTATTTCTTTAGTTTAAAATCATCTGCAAGGTTTACGAGACTAAAACGAATTGGTTTTCGTAAATATATATTCTTTTTTTTCAAATTTTGAAGAAAATTACCCGTTTCTGTGCACGTAAATGTACCGTGTTTTCTTTTTTCTTATTTGAACAAAGGAAAGGTTCTTTCATATTTATATTATATAAAAGTAGTCATTCTTGTTTCGTTCTAACAAGCTAACATCTCTTAAATTACTAAATTTACGGCTACATCACGTTGATGCCACCGGTTCCCATAAGATCAACAAATTAAGAAACGTCGAACCTGGTTAGTACCTAGATGGATGACCGGTTTGGAATATCAGAGGCTGTAATCCCCAAATGCGGCTGGTGTAGATAATTGCTCGGGATTGTTAATCGGAGATCCGAGTTACAATTCCATCTTGATTCCTTATATTCATTTACGCATAAATACAATTGGTAATGGTGTGAATCTTCTCCCCAACACAAATATGGTTTAATTAGTAAGACTTGTATACCTAAAACATTATTATTTTCAAAATCTAAAATAAAAGTACGTATAAAATATTTACATTTCAGTATTAAATAACACATAGAGGTTGATCTGCCGCTAAACCAAAAAAAAAACCACCAACCGACCTAAATTACTGACTTCCGCTTTGATTTCAAAAGTTACATATCATCCATTCATAGAAATTTGAAGCATTCTTTTAATTTGACACATTGGATTCGCAAAGTGATCATTTGGCATTTTTGGAACAATTCCTAAGAGACACATGCTATGATGGTATATCTTTTCCTCAGTCCAATATTTTCTCAAGTTAGGATCGCTTTACTTTTATTAAAGATCATTCACGTGTAATCAATTTGTACATGATCAATTCCGAGTTGCTGTATTCTCTGCTTCTTTCTGTGAGGAAAAGCCACTGGAATCTTGTTGAAATAAAGTGATAGGTTTAACTTGAGACTCTGTTTCAAACCTGACCTATATCAAGTGAATGTTCGGGCTCTACACCACAAGATTCAGAAAAACGAAAAAGATTTTTCCCTCAATATTTTCCTTTATTTTGTCTCTTTCATATTCCCAATTTCGGATAATGCTAAACAAAATGCCCGATGTATCTTACTTATAAGTATAATCTAAAGAAAACTGCTTTCATTTAACCAACATCAAGAACGTTTCCTACCTGCCATTAGCATGACTGATGCAAGACTCCAGGGGAGCAACACATTGTACCTTCTTGGCTTCATGTTTTTCACTGACTTGATGTGAAGCGACTACTCGAATCAAAAGCTGCATCTACTGCAGGGATAGTTGTGTCACTGTGCCGTGCCAGAAGATTTTTCTTGTCAGAATCCATCTTGCACATTTACAAATTTACCATTTCGTCCGTGCATTGAATACTCTGCAATATGTGGTCTGATGCTCGAGATTCTTTACAAAATCCAAAGAAGAATCTGCAATGTAATTGACCAGAAATCTCGATTTCAGTCACTTTCTCACCGACGTGACGTGGCTTCCCTCTGTCTTTTCTACAAATATTTTCATAACTACTCTGAAGAGCTTTTTTCCCCCTGGTGCTATGCCTACATGAATTTAAGCATGCTACTAGATTGGCATCTAGTTCCACTTTTTTACTACCTAAATGTAACAGCCACTTCTACTCCAACAGTTTCTTTACTCCCACTTGTCGAATAATCTTTCGTTTACTTGCTTCATTGATAACTACAATCTTCAATGATTTAAATGCAACGTCTGTCACCATCTTTTGTCTTTTCCTCACACCTACCTATTCTCAGTATTCTCTTTCATTTTCACTCCCTGTAACCCTCTTGCGTATTGGTCACTCCTTGTTTGGGTTTTATTATATTCCGTGCTAAGGGAATAAACTCATAACACCAGGTGGATACTAGAAGAAAGTTTTATTGTACACAACAAGTACAATATGAAATACGGTACAGTTATACACACAGGTCAATCTAGTAGCGAGTGCCACTAATTGGAAGGTCAGACGTGCTTGCTTCGTCTCTCTCCCTCGTCCTCTTCTGTGTCTCTCGAAGACAGTTGAACTTATAGGTATTTGCTACCGATAGTGTGATCCTTCATGGGGGTGACTGGTTATTCCATTACATCAGGTTTAAATGATTTTTAAAAATGCAGAAATATTGTAAACATTTAAATTTGCGCAATGCAAGAGAAGTGATCGCCTGAAGTATTTAAAACGTACTTAGTTCGGTTCATACATTCAAAAGAACATTACCTGATTTTGGTGCCATACGTTGAGCATCGAAAATCAACTTTTGAAATACTTTTCATTCTATGTACCCTAAAGTCATAGTATAGCCGTTTCTTATTATATTTCTGGGGAGGTAAATCCATTTTTTGAGCAGAAAATCCCCGAAACCATCTACGTGAGTTATAGAAAAAATGTAAGCTAATTTCAGAAATGATAGCTATTCTATATACATGGGGGTGGGTGGAAAGAAACTCCCTATTTAGAATTGTTAATAACTTTTTGGATTATTGGTCGATCTTCATAAAAAATGTTTTATTTTGAACAGTATAAGTGTTGAAGGAGAGATCAGAATATTTCCTGCAGATTTTTGGGACATTTTCTTCCAATCTGGATGTTGTCAGACGACAGATTCATTGGGTATCTACGAGAGATTCAAAACTCATCTTAGATTAGAATGATAATTTCTGATGGTTTCGAATCTACGTGGTTCATAAATTCGAGATCTGTTCGAAGATTTGGCCTTTCGGTGGTGATAGCTTTTACATTTAAGCCACATTTTTAAATGAGTTATGTAAAAGTTTTCATTTGATTTTCCACTTAACTATAAATTAAGATATTTTCATAATTGAGCTGAAAATCATTCTGACGACTCGAGACTCACAATTTGCAACCGTTGTGCGAGCCCAATGTGGCTGACATATATTTACTGATTATATTCATTGAATAGTTAAAGAGAAAGTTCGTTTTTGGTGAGTCAATAAGATTCCAGGCAGTAAAGTTAAAAGACGT